TTTTTTTTCCCAGCATTTAACAGTTTGTGGGGTGACTTTTTCACATGTTTTCAGCTATCTTTTTGGTGCTGAGGATGGAATGAAAGGCCTCATGAATGTGAGGGAAAACGCTCCACCACTGAGCCACATCTCCAGACTTGTTACTTTTGACAATCGACTATTTACATTAATAGTTATTGGAGTGTGGAATTAGCAAGTACCATCTCCTTACCTGGGCTGGAACACTATCTGCCCAACCTTTAATTTTAGTTAGGAGAAGAGTTTTCACAGCTATGAAGACTCTTCCTTTTTTGGTCTTTTTGAGACAGGGTCTCGCTATGCAGTTCAAGCTGGCTTTGAACTCGAAATGATCCTACTGCCTCAGCCTCCCAAGTGCTGGGATTACAGGCATGTGTCACCATGCCTGGCTAGGACTCTCCTTAAGGAACTCTTACAGAACTCTTCCTTAAGGAAAGTAAATTATACTTCTCTTAGCAGCTGAAGGTATGCCTTCAAACCTTAACATTTATATTCAGAATGATAGTTGAAAGTGAGAGTTATTTTCATTATATTTCTTTAATAAAACCAATTAGCAAATACATATTTACAGGTAGGTGTGGCGGGGCATGCCTATACTCCCAGTTACTCAGGTAGCCAAGATAGAAGGATTCCAATTTTCGACCAACCTGGGCAACTTGGTGAGACGCTATCTCAAAATAAAAGGGGCTGGGAGGCAACTCAGTGACTGAGCACTTGCCTAGTACATGGGAGGCCTTGGGAGTTCAATTACCAGTACCACGCCAAAAAAAAAATAGGCTTTTCCTTTTTTTTTTTTTTTTTTTTTGAGACAGGGTTTTGCTACATAGTTCAGACTGGCCATGAACTTACTATGTAACCCAGGCAGGCCTCAAACTCATGGTGATTCTCCTGCCTCAGCCTCCCAAGTGCTGGGATTACACTATAACACAGGCATTTTATTTATTTATTTATTTTTTTGTCATTTTTTTGAGACAGGGTCTCGCTGTGCAGTTCAGGCTGGCCTTGAGCTCACTTTGTAGGCCAGGATGGTCTCAAACTCGCAACGATCCTCCTGCCTCAGCCTCCCGAATTCCAGGATTACAGGCGTGCGCCACCATGCCCGGTTGTTAGGCGTCGTGGCACACGCCTATAATCCCAGCACTCGGGAGGCTGAGGCAGGAGGATCATTGCAAGTTTGAGACCAGCCTGGGCTACAAAGTGAGCTCAAGGCCAGCCTGAACTGCACAACGAGACCCTGTCTCAAAAAGACAAAAAAAAAAAAGGGACCAGACACCCCCCAAAAAAAGTGTGCGTTGTCAAAGGATCCCAAGAATTTGTCAAATCTGTTCATTTTGTTGTATGTCCCTTTAAAGAAGTCTGAGAAACTAGTCAGCCTACATTTTAACAAAAAAGATAAGAGCATAATCAAAATGAGCATGTCTACAATCCCAGCACTCTGAGAGGCTGAGGCAGGAGGATCTCAAGCTCAAGCCTAGCCTGGGCAATTTAGCAACTTAGTGAGAATTTAGTGAGTCCCTGTCTCCAAGATAAAATAAAAAGACTGGGATGTAGTTCAGTGGGTTCAATCCCCTGCACCACAAAAAAAAAAAAAGTAATGATAATAATCATTTTCTTCATTTGATGTCCAAGGCTGTTACATGTGAAACACCAGTGCTGGGAGTGGTGGCGCACACCTGTAATTCTAGCACTCGGGAGGCTGAGGCAGGAGGATCCTTGCAAGTTTGAGACCAGCCTGGACTACAAAGTGAGCTCAAGGCCAGCCTGAACCGCACAGCAAGACCCTGTCTCAAAAAGACCAAAAAAAAAAAAAAAAACACAAGTGAATCTGAAATACGAAAAATAATGGAATTTAAATATTTTTTTCTAATTTGGACTAACAATTTTGTTCACTGAGCTACTGATAGCATCAACTAACTGATATTACAGACAGAATTCCAGAGACGATCTTAAAACCATCCTCTGTTATCGACCTACAAACATACGGAAATTATTCTGTGTATTTGTACATACTGGGCGTCACCATAAGCCTTGAGAATCCCTCGATCCAGATAGTTACTACTGTTGATCACATCAGGCTGCTTCTTTGGCTGAGGAACTTTAGACACGAGCTCTTTCTGTCTGAGTAAGGAGTCAAGGAGGGGGAGGTCTATAAGTTGTAGTAGACGCCCAATCGTTTCTTCTTGCCAAACTTCATTGATAACTACACAGGAAAAATGACAGAGGAACACTTAATAGTTACTATGTGCTCACCGTCATATTGGTCCAGGCAGATCTAGGCTAATAAATTGGTGTCACAAAAAAAAGGTAAGGAGCCGGGGATATAGCTCAGTGGCACAAGCGCCTGCCTGCCAAGCACAAGAACTCAGGAGTTCGATTCCCGGCACTGAAAAAAAAAACAAGGTAGGAAGGAAGGAAAACAGGAAGGAAGGAAAGAAACAGGAAAGGAAAAGAGGGAAGGGGCGGGGAGAGGAAGGGAAGAAGTTAACCTTATAATGTACTTTCTTACGAAAAAATAAAACAAGGCCGGACGTGGTAGTGCACGCCTATAATCCCAGCACTCAGGAGGCTGAGGCTGGAGGATCGTTGCAAGTTCGAGCCCAGCCTGGGCTACAAAGTGAGCTGAAGGCCAGCCTGAACTGCATAGTGAGACCCTGTCTCAAAAGGACAAAAAAAAAAAAAAAAAAAGAAAACAATCCAAGATTTGTTTAAAGTGTAGGAGAATAGACTTTGGACAACAGGAATTCTTTTCATTCTTTGTACTATATAAAGCAATCTGTCAGAGATAAGAGAGCAAGTCATATAACATGTTAATAAGGACTTTGGAAGAAAGAATGATTCATTCAATCTCAAAACCGATTTGCAACTCTTGGCTACAGACTATTCCACTCAGAATTTCCACAACCGGGAAGGAGGACGGAAGGGGGAAATTAGTCATTACGCTGAATTCCACTGCCACGAGGAAGAACATGAGAACTCTGTTAATGTTTTAAGTGTAATTTTCAAGTTTTTATTGAACCTAATAAAATCGTAGGGAAGCAACCTCTGAGAGCATATTTTAAGTACAAATCTGCATGCAAAACACTTCAGATCTGAACCTCTGCCAGCCGACAGGACAAAAGTCAGTGTTCAAGAGCGGTAACACTGATGCGTTTGTTAAAGATAACAGACTTCTGTTATAACTTAATATAAACAGCTTTAACACACAGCGCGCTCTTTCTCTACACTGTGGATATTTAAATTCTCATAAAGGTTAAGTTCGCTGCATTTGAAGTTAGTCTTCTTTTCCTTACTTTCTGCATCATCTTTAGCTTACCTTGTGGAGACAGGGTTGCAGAGATATGTGTGTGAGGGGAATTAGCAGCAGGCTTTAAACTCAGGTTTTCCCACAGATCTTCCAAACTGTCCGATTTGATATCAGAGGATTTATAGAGTGCACCTGCGTACCTGAAATGAATTCAACGGGCCCACAAATATTGTAGTATTTGCTAGCTAATAGTTTGAGAATTCTTGAATTTCAGAACAAACACACAAGAAGTACAAGTTTTAAGAGTGGAATCATATATAAAAACTCACCTTCTCTCTTAAACCTAAAATCTACTCTAAAGTTTCCTGTGAACACTTATTTGGATGTAATACAAAGATGAAAATTTGAGTCCCCCATTTTATTTATGTATTTTTGGTTTTTTTAAACAGCCTTGCTATGTAGTTCAGACTGGCCTTGAACTCATTTTGTAGCCCAGGCTGGCCTCAAATTTGTGAGGATCCTCCTGCTTCAGCCTCCCAAGTGCTGGGATTAAACATAATAAAACAACTGAACTTATTATCTTTACTGTTTGTATAAGTTCTCTTTATTTGTGTAAGTGCTCATCATTTCCCAAAAACACATCTACACTCCTTTAGCTACAGTTCTGAAACCAAAAAGCTTTAAAAAGTTAAAGTTTATTCAGAACTCTTATGACAATGAAACCTGTCTTGGCATTATTATAGCTTTTATTTACTCCAGTTAATGAATATTCCTTTGTTCACAGAAATGTCAAGATGCTTGGTTACCAGGTGCTGTCCCAGACCCTCCCAGAGGAGGTATAGTATTTATATATGCAAAATGACCCTTCTAAAATCTACAGATCCTAGGGGCTGGGGATTTAGCTCAGTGGCACAGCGCCTGGCAAGCGTGAGGTCGTGAGTTCGATTCCCAGTACCGGAAAAAAAAAAACACTACAGATCCTACATGCTTCTGGTCCTGAGAGTTTCCAATAGAACAGGAGAACTGTATCTTAAGTGAGATCCATGCTCTATCTTCTCATGCTTCTTTCCTGAATACAGAGGCGCACTTCAACTTATCTTCCTATTTCTTTCCTCAATAGAGAGAGAACTTGTACCGTGTTTGGAATCAGACACAAAAAAATATTTGAAAAATCGATATACGAAAACTCTGACTGTGGGTGAGATCTGACACATAACAGTTTTTGTTTTGTTTTTGTCTTTTTGAGACAGAGTCTCACTATGCAGTTCAGGCTGGCCTTGAGCTCATTTTGTAGCCCAGGCTGGTCTCAAACTCGCAACGATCCTCCTGCCTCAGCTCCCGAGTGCTGGAATTACAGGCGTGCGCCACCACACCCGGCTGACAACACATAACAGTTTCAAAGGACAGTGACACTTCTACAGTCCAGCTAAGAATACAAGAGGAAAAGAAAGCCGTGTCTATTCCCTGATAAGCAACTAAGTTCATCATGTACCACCCTCGTCATCATCCCCATCACAGGGCCCACGGTTCTGTCCCCCAGTCTCCCTTTAAATGACCCTCTCCTCCCCCATGCTGTCCGTGCAGCTCATATTTTCTGTAATTGCAACTGCAACCGATTCCTCACCAGCTCTTCCCGCGGGCCACACAGCTGCCAAGCGGGCTGGCCTTTCTTCACTGCCCAGGGCTGAAGGCAGGGTCTGGCTCTGGAGAGGCAGGCGCTCCGCCCCTGAGCACATCCCCGTGCGGGGGCGTCCTGGGGTGGCCGTTTTAGGTACAGCCTCATCTTTCTGCAGCGTCCCCGACACCTGTATGATCGAGTCCAAGTTCCCAACCCTGCGGGCGGGAGGGTACACGTGTCTGTGGGCCCAGCTATCAGGAGGCGGAGGTAAGAGGATCACTTAAGCCCGAGAGCTGATGACCAGCCTTGGCAACACCGCAAGACTGTCTCAAAACAGTAAAAACCCCTAATTCGTTCATATGCCTTATAGAGCCCTGGGCCTGCTGACTCCCATACACTTTCAGTACTTCCAGTGATCTATGATCTAGATTTCTTGTCTTTGCCTTCTCCTACCACTTTGCGCTTTACTAATTTTTTTGGTTTTGCTAAATTGTCCGGGATGGCCTGGAATGTAAAATCCTCCTGCTGCAGTGTCCCAAGTAGATGGGAATTAGATGTATGCGCTAACTGTTTTCATACTGTAACTATAACTTGAGGGATGAAAATCAGTTTGTTGCCAGGCATGATGGCGCATGCCTGTAATCCCAGCACTTGGGAGGCTGAGGCAGGAGGATTGCCATGAGTTTAAGGCCAGCCTGGGCTATATAGTGAGTTCAAGGCCAGCCTGAACTACATACCAAGGCCCTGTCTGGGAAAAAAAGAAGACAGGAAAAAAAGGAAGAAAATTTGTTTCTACTAAACATAAAATATGAACAAGTCTATGAGCTATCTGATAAAGTTAACAACATTTCATTGCACTTTATAAAATTTGCCCACAGGTCTAGATTTTTGCCAGATGTATTGTTTGTAAAAGTAACATATTGAGCTGGGTGTGGTGCTCACTTGTAATCCGAGTGCTCTGGGGCAGGTTGGGGTGGGAGAATCACAAGTTCAAGCCCAGCCTGGGTACCTTAACAAGTCTCTGTCTCAAAATTTAAAAATTTTCAAAAAATCCCAATACTCAGGAAGCTGAGGCAGGAAGCTTGCTGTGAATTTGAGAGCTGGGCTTAGTGGTGCATACCTGAACTCCCAGCACTTGAAAGGCTGAGGCAGGAGGATCACCACAAGTTTGAGGCCAGCCTGGGCTACATAGTGAGTTCAAGGTCAGCCTAAACTACATAGGTACACTTGGTCTCAAAAAAATTTAAAAATTTTTTAACAGGACTGGCGATGTTGTGCAGTGTAAAGGCCATGGGTTCAATCCCCAGTACTACACATACTCATCTTATATATATATATATATAAATTGTTATGGTTGATACATTGTGTCAACTTGGGGAGTCTAGAGGTTTGGCTAGGTGACTCAGCAGGAAGCCAGGGTGCTTACTTTGTATACATCCTGAGCCTG